CCAACCATGCAAAGCATGCAGATAATGTGCGTAGCAGAAAAATAAAAAAACTAAGGACCCTGATAGTCTAGATCAAAAGTAGGATGGTATGCATCATCATCTTGAGGCAGAAACTACCGCTGCTACTGATATTCAAGGACAATAAGAGAGGTTTGTGTAGAATTAGTGGAGTAGGTGAAAGCTGAATTCATGTGAAGACCTGAGCCAGGACCATGTGACGGCTGTGGTGGGGCAACTGGATGATGACCTGCCTGAAGAGAGATGCCATGAGCGGCTAGAGCTGCTGTAACAGACTGTGCGATTGTTTGGCTCATATTATCCTGAGCTTCTGTCATATTGGCCAGCTGCTGTTACATCAAAGCAATTTGTTGGCGTTATCTTTCTAACCCCTCATGATCTTTTGCCTGTGTCTCCTCATAGTCAGACGCCATCAATGCTGCTATTAAGTTTTCTCGAGGTTGTCTCTTCCTGTAAGTAAAACCAACCATCTCTAGATTTACTTGGGAGCCAATCCCTGGCATGAAATTAGATGAGCAACCTCCAACAGCCTTAACCCATGCCTCGTTATCCATGCGTGGCCACAAACTAGCATCAGAGCCACGACTATCTATGCACTCCGCAACATAAGTATCTTGAAAAAATAATAGTAATAGTAATAATGTTGTCAAAAGTAGCTTGAAAAGAATCTATAAAAAAAAAAAAGTAGACTTTGCTAAATAATTTAGATTAATTACATAAATTTTTTTCACACTTATAACTATACATTTTATACTAATTTATATGTTATATATACTTACATATCGATAATTTGCTTTTTCATTGATCCACGCTGGCTCTTGATCCTTTCTCGCCTTTTTTCTGAAGTTGTGCGTCTCCTTGAATTTCTCTTGATGGGGAGGTTGCACACCACCTTTAGACTCAATCTATATTTCAAAATATTGATAATGCAATATATTGGTTAGTATAAATTGACACAATTTATTGTTAAATAAAATCTAATATATTAAATTTTTTATTAATTAAGCTTGATTACCATCCACGCCTCATGGATGCCAAAGCTAATGGACCCAGTGGTGTGAGTCACCCTTTCCCCAAAGCTCCTATTCTTTGCTCCCCTTGCACTGAGCCTCTTATATTCATTAGAGTCCCAATATGTCAACAGCTAAGGCCATATGTGAGTTGGGATCCAACATGGGACATACGATGAGTTCTTGTCCCATTTCAACTTCTCATCCCTTAGATTGTCACTCCATCTATGTTTCATACAATTTAAGAATGCATCTCGCACATGGCGATTATCTGCAGGATTCCACTGGTAAAGTGTCTGCAAAATAAGAAATAAATAACATTAGATGTCTAACAAATGTAAATTCTAGTTTAGTAATGAAATTATTTATTTTTATTAGAAATTGCTAAATCCATTCATTTTATTAAATTTGCTAAAACTTAATCTTACCTTGAAACAATTATAAATTTCAGCAATCTTGCTTTAGGGGACACGCTCGTATGTGAAATACGGGCCATCAAAACGTGACTTTCATAGTGAAGTGATAGCCCGAGGGATATTTGGATCAGCAAACTGGAGCTTATTATCAGTGAGTTTAACCCATTTCCTGCTCTCTCTATTTTCTAGAGGGCGTATTCCTTTGAAATTCCTGCTCCATCCTTTTTTCCCCATCGAGGATGAAGGGCCCTCGTTCTCATGATCAGGTGCAAAATTATAATTCATTAATGGATCAATCGTTTGCTATATATCCGGAGCTACGCTACTATCAGTAAACAACTGTGGGCGATTAAAATTGTGTTGCTCTTGTGATCCTGAGGAGGAAGATCTCCTCCTTGCTGAACCTGCAGGATTTCCAGACATCCTGAAAAATGAATAACAAAATAGTTATTAATACATTTATACAAATAATAAGCAACAAATTTAGAACAATCATACAATAATTATATTTTAAATGAAAAATATATAACTTGATAAAACAATATATGTAAGACAAAGAAATTTTAATACATATATTTAATAAGTAATAATACAAATGTTTCAATTAATCATCACTATCATCGCTATCATCACCATCCTCAACATTATCACTATTTCCTGAGGATTTTGAATCTTTTTCTTCTCCATAGTCCTCCTCTTCTTCAAATGCATTAGCATCAACCTCAACTTCTGTAACACCTTCTGCACATAGTTGAAGTGATTGGTATGCAGTTAAATCTATAGCTAATGAAGAGCCTTGCATTATGGAGGGGTCATCATCTTGAAATATATCATCAACCTCTCCTAAAGATGAGGTAGATGAGGTCTCAATTAGATGTCTAGATTTGATTTTACATGCTGCCAACCATCCCCGGGTAGTTCTGTCCGTGGCTGCCGAATATAGAGTATAATAAACTTGTTGTGCTTGACTAAAAAGGCAAAATGGCTCCCCCGTTGAAAGTTTAAACCTTGGATTGACATCAACAATTCCGTGTTCAACATTGACACATATTCCTCGGTTCGTGTCATACCAATCACAATCAAACAATATTATAGTCTCTTGATGGCCTGAGTGTCCATAATACAATAACTCGATCACCTCTTTTAAGACACCATAATAATCAATTTCATCTACAGAATTAATGGTGGTTCCTTTAACAAAAACACCACAGTTATATGTCTTTCTAGTACTAGTAAACTCTTCAGTAAAAAATTTAAAGCCGTTCACATAGAACCCATTATAAACATTCACCTCAAACATCGGGCCAACTGCAAGGTGGATAAGTTGTTCATTGATTTCATATTGTCCACTAAACACCTATATTTGAAAAAAAAATTAATTTAGTAATATTTAATATTTAATTAAAATTTTGAGAA